TATATATATATATAATTTGAAACAATGAAAATGTAGGTTTCTCTCAGGAATCGACTCTTGCGAATTTAACAGTATTTATATTGGTGAATGATGTTAAACTACTACACGTTAAAATTTGGTTGAAATGTTGATGATATGCGAGACTTGCACGCCTCTTTTTCCGGAAAACAGCTATTGTTTTCAATATATATTTTCCGGAATTCCTCAATAATATTTTTTCTCTCGAACTAGTTCTCACTACTCATACGTAGCACTTTTGTAAAGACGCGAACGCGTCTTCCCGGCCGGAAAGCCAATTGTTCGGAAATTAACAAGCGGCAACGCAATTTCGCCCTATGCGTGACGTCGCAGAAGACCGGTTGACGTCGCATCCGCGGCTCACGCGACGGAGGAACGCGACGAGGTGTTAATTTTAACACACCGGCCTCTTTTTTCCCCTATCGAGCGTCAACCGGCTGTTTCGTACGAACTCCCCAGTGCAGTGCTCGAACGATGGCTCAATAAGAGACTCAGGAGCGATTTCGAAACCTTGCGAAAAAGAGCGAAGAACAAAAGAAGAAGCAACGAGAGAGAGGAAGCGTGCGTGTGAGTTCGCGCGCTTCTCGCACGTAACTCGCGAACGACGTGACACGCGTGCCGCAACGCGAACTACAGACGTGGCCTCCGTCGGCGCATTATTATTAGCCGGGTGCGTGTGTGCGTGCGTGCGTGCACGCAGATGTGAGCGCACGCAACGCACGAGCGGCACGCGATGCGCGTAACTACAGTGCGCGTTTAAGGCGCGCAACTACCACCGTCGCCTTCTTCGTCCGCGTTGTTCTTTTCGCGAAATTCAGGAAACTCGTAACGGGGATATTTTTCATTTAGCGCTCCTGAATACGCGACTATAGTGTGTCAGATTAAGATATATTCATGGATGTCAATGTTTCTCAGAGCACTGGAAGAGGAACCTGCGTGCTTTGCTTGCGACTTTTGTTCGCCAAGTTTAATACTTTCCATTCCATTATTTAACGAACGTATTCTTTTTCCACTTTTCTCGAAGTCGAAGAGAAGAAATTTCGAGAACTTTTAAGAAAGTCGTTCGTAAAGTGCCATAAATGTTTAAACGAAATATAAACTGCCGAAACGCATGTCATTATTGTTATCGCTGCCGTCGAGAATTTAACAAACCTAGAACCGGTTTTAGCACGCGCGACAAGGAGAAGAAACGGCGAAACCAGAAGCTGGAACGTCCGACGACCGGGATACGATCGGTACCTGTGAGCGATCGACGGTCAATCATCATCGATATGCGCGAGTTCTTCAAATAAGACCTGTCCGCCGACTGATTGCTTTAGTTTCTTATAAAGTTTCATATAAAAGGACGATATGTACCTTTCCTCCTGCGGCCATCATCTTTCGATTATATTGCGTCACGACAGAAACTCGCTTCTCCGCTTCCTGTTTCAACGACCCGGAAAGAAGAACGATGGTAGTAACGCTCGCTGAACGCTCGCGTCATATCATCGACGTGAACGAAAGGGAGGAATTTCGTTCGTCTTATTCATTTGTGAAATATAATAAAAAATGTGGAAACACGCGCGTCATGTGACGGATAATACCATGATTTACCGGTCTCGATGAACGTTCAGCGTTGGATTTTTCGATCCTCGTTAGTGCGATTTTCTTATTACATGAATAAATTACGGAATCATTACTGTACGTGCATTACGGTAAACGCGCGGAATAAAATGGAAATAAGAATGCGGGTTGTAAAATTCTGTCAAAACAATAGAATCTCGAGTCGAAATTATAGTCCTATGTTAAACTTTTAATTCTATAGCACAGTAGAAGAGATAAGATGAAAATAAGCTCACGCAATTTTAATTCTAATAATATAATTTACTCCTACTTTGTGCTATCTCAAATCTCATCAAAGTTCCGCTATTTTAGTGTTTTGTTTTACTTCATCATTAAACTTAAATCTGTAGAATTAAAGTAATTAAAAAGCTAACAAATGTAATATCGTCAAAGTAGATTTTTATAAACCATCTAATAGGTTCAAACTATTCTTAAGAGCTTATCTTTACTTGAAACGTTTTGTTTAGTAGATGAAGTTTTTCTTAATTATAAAACATACAATTCTGAAATTTTGTATCATATGTCTCATACTTTTTTCTTTTTCAAATAATTCTAAAAATGATCTACGTTAACAATGTTTCAAATACTTCCTTAAGAGTGTCAAAGTAGCATCGAAATTTCGAATCGGGATTTCCAACAATACGCGTAATTGTAAATCTTCTTGATTCAATAGCGATATCATGTAAACTAATACTTAAATTATTATAAAAATCTGTAACATGTTGGTTTCAATAATCTCTCTCTCTCTCTCTCTTTCCCCCTCCCTATTGAATCAAGATTTACTACAATTACGCACACTGTTGGAAATTCTACCGATTAAATAATATTGTTTTTCCGTGTAATCATTTTACTTCTTCACGAGCAACAACCTTTTTCGATGACGACGGGGACTGATAAATATTCCCGGAATACGCGCGCGTATATGCGCGTACGTGCGCGTTGGATCCAATTTGAGATAAACGCACGCCGGAAGACGCATTGTTCGCGCGGAATAGTACAAATTAACAGATCGATATCGCGCGGCCGGCGCAATTAACATTGTGTACACTGGCGGATCGGCTTTCTTGAAAATCTGACGGTTTAATTAGGCGCCGGGCCACCTTGTGGCAGATGCGGGCTCCCCGCTCGATTAATTAACAGGCAACGGTATCGTCCGAGCTCATCTCTCCCGCTCATTTAAATCGACGCGGTTCGCCATAATCGCGTACGCCTGTTCACCGGGAATCCTGTTTCCGCGTTTCTTAGCTGCAGCAGTCGGCTTACTATCGCTCGTTCGCAATAAATCCCGTAGCTGAGAAGCGACGTCGCGAAAATCGCTCGAGAAACCCGGCGACTCGTTGTTAGTCGTCTCAACCAAAAGCGAAGCTCGCTTATTAAGAAGATACCGGTGAAGAAAATCGATCTATTTCCAACGAGCAACAGAAAGTAAAATGTTTGCAATTTTGACAACTGATTGTTTTACGATGAAAATGGCAAGAGGTGATTTTTGGAAATATTTCTGCTTTCAGATATATTATCAGTTCAAATGGTGATTTCGCTTACACGATTCCGCTCGGTAGGAAAATTAGTAGGAAAGAAGAGGAAAGATTTATCGTCTAAAAATTATTATTATCTGCCCTCTTTATGCTTCAAAGGCAGAAATAGTTTTGTTTTTATTTATACAGGCAAATTGAAGTGCTTATTCGTACAATAAAATCTTTTTATCCTTATTTAAGAATTATTTTCCAAACTCTACTGACGACACATGTTGTTTTAAGAATATGTATGTGGATTTTCAGAAAATTGTATGATTATTTATAACATCGAAGAAAATTAATTTTTTCAAACGTATATTTTCGTTTTTAATGAAATTTCAAGATTGCAAACATTTTCTTTCATCTGGCTGAATGTCACCGAAATGCTTTCACGCGTGTCTCGATGAAATGATGTACTTTTTCGACTATAACGCAAAATCCATCTCTTGCAGGCGTTCGATCATCGCCGATGAACATCGTCGCACGGACCACGGTGATGACGGAAGAAACTATGTTAGGAGGCGACGAGGAGGCTGAAAACGGCGAGGGCGAGGGTGAAGGTGAGGGCGAAAGTGAGGGCACGGAGAAATCTACGAATGAGGAGGAGGAGGCGGACGTCGATGTGGAGGAGTGCAGCAGCGTCGAAGACGGCCCGCTGAACAGGATGCCGGCCGACGAGCTGGGTGGTACGTCGCGGAAATCCACCGAAGATGTCAGCATGGCCGAGGACACGAAGGTGCGTCTCAGGACCAGCTGTAACTCCGACGAGCTGCGTGATGTCGAGTGCCATCTTGAGACCAGGGATCTCTGGAAAAAGTTCAACAGCCTCGGCACGGAGATGATCATCACGAAGACCGGCCGGTAAGTGACGCGTGTCGATCGCGAGTACGTTGAAGAAAGGAGGGGAAAGGTTGCAAAGATTCTCTGCGGCATCACATCGCGCGGAGTTTCTACTTCTTACGAATACCGTTCTTGTTTTCTTCGGCCCAAAACGCGCTTGCTTTATTTATTGTCAATTCAACCAAATTTCTTTTCGTGCGTAAAAACTATTGCGATGAAATATATATTCTTGACATAAAAAATTGAGCTTTTTTTACACTCACAGTCTGAGAAGTGCTGTGCAAAGTTCTTCAATTCCCAAAATTTATCTTGATCTTATTCATGTTCAGACACTCAACATTTTTTGCGACACACCTGCAAATTTGTTAATATCTTCGCGAATTTTTTTTTCGATCGTCGCAAACGATTTGGAGTTGTCTCGGAGATACCGAGCTGCAATTTGAGAAAGAGAGAAAGAGAGAGAGAGAGAGAGGGGGGAGAGGGGAGAATAAAATCGCGTTCCTACCGGGTGGTTATATTGAAGAGGTTCTTCTACGGCTCTCTCTCGATTTGACCGAGCGTGCCAAAATCGTTCGGCAGTTATCTTGAAGATATCATAATGCGATACCGCAAGAGGTTCCTCGTATTCGTCCGCTCGTTAATCGCATTTAAGGTAGTTGAACCGTGACAATACACGAAAAAAAAGTTTGGTTGTATTAGCCAGAGAGAGAGAGAGAGGAGGAACAACCGGATGCATTTTGGTTAAACAGAATTTCTGCTTATAAGAACCGCATTTGGATCATAAGAACCAGAAATTCTGTTCAGAAATCAGAACGCATCTGGTTGAACCAGATTTTTTTTTCCGTGTACTGTTAAAAAGATAACGACGAATATTATTACTTTTTAACACATTTTTTTTTAGATATTACTTTACTTGTTGAATAATGATGAAATTCTGAATTCTATGTATTATCAGAGAGAAGTTTGAAAACGACTACACTGATTTATTTTTCAACAAGCTTTCTGAGAAAGTGCGTTTAAAATATTTCGCACATTGTATGTCGCTTGATTCGTACCGCTTAGCTTTAATCAATAAAGAAGTCATATTGATGTCTAAAGATAATATTTGAGACCGTCTTGAAATAAGAATATATTTACGATTATTACTATCCAATAATAGAACACAAATTGTGTGTTCGTATCGAGTCAATGATATCTAAGTCTTGAACCGATACGATATTGAAACTCAAAGTATCGATACGAATCGGAACATCCCTGATACACACACATAATATACGCTAGTAGAGACCGAATTATTCCGATATATTTTTCATATTGTTGGTTTTTGATCTTTTGCGTTATTTAACCATAATAAGATGGAATATAGCGTAAACAATATTGCCAAATCTTTACAAATTAGCTGTCACGTACTTCAACCGTTATTGAATTAGTATAATTTACATATCAATTTCTTTTTTTTTTTTTTTTTCATAATATTTCTACAAGTTTTCTTTTCATCCTTTTTACACGTTAATAGTGTTAATTTTGATTGTAATTATCCTAACTTCGGTATGCTCAATCTTTTTTTTAATTGTACACGTGTGCATCTCTATTACAATATACTGATAAAATTTGAAAAAATTCCTAAGAAACTACTCTAAAGACATGAACCGCGGCATTGAAGGGCGTCTTTTATTCGTGAACGGTAGACGACAATACGGTCAGATTTTGACACAGCCGAAAATATACCCGAACTAATGGATGCCATTAACTGACGTTTTACGAGATATTTACCTGAATTTCGGGCGTGTAATTCGTTGCGCATCCGTTTACGCGTGGACGCGCGCATTTTTACAGGTATGCTAATAAAGTACGGGGCAGTTCACGCAGCTGCGACCGACCGAGACCATAAGTGACCGCGTCGGAATTATGAAATATTCGTGCGAGGTGAGCGAAAGAAAGAGAAGGCTGGGGGGGGGGGGAATCGTTTGTTCCTTNGCATTTTAGATACGCGTTATGCCGGTTGAAATTTGCAAGACCGCAATCCCAGCCGTTGGAAACTCGCGAAGAGATGCTGCGATAAGGCTAATTGCAAAACACCTAGTAAGTGGGGTGGACAGATAGGTTGAAAAATTCATTCCGAATATACGGACCGCTCGTAAAATGATCTACATCTCGTATTATTAGAACCTCGGTTGAAAACTTGACCAATCCCCAGCACGAATCTTTCTACAAGCAAATTTTCGTCTGGTCCGCAGAAAATTTCAGTTACACCAACGGAATTCTTTTTTCCGTGCGCACATATTTTCAGACTAAGTCCATCTAAATCACACACAGTATCGTCACAATTTCGTTCGTTTTCCGGTGAGTTAATTTTTCACGAGAATCATGCTGAATTCACTTAAGCGTCTCGCCCGCAATCGCGGACGTATTAATCACTCGCTCCGTTGGACACTTTGCTCGTTTCACATCGTAGCACGTTTGTACGGCGATGTTAGGAGCAAAACGCGCCGCTAATATATTTATGCGGTGCAGAAAGTAGATGATAATCCGATAAGCCGCGCGGTTGTAACCGTAAGTGTGATTTCGGATAAGCCGTGCGCAACGCGCAATTATGAAGTGCCTTCGAGAATTGCGCAAACAGGTGCCTCCTCCGATTCGAGCGGGTAATCCCAGTGCCTCTTACCTGTCTATAATCTACTTACGATACTCTAGGCCAGTGCTTCTCATCGCGTAATATTTCATACGAGTAATATTTCCAACAATCTTTACACTATATCGCGCACATTTTTTTTTTCCAGTGATATCGCTTTTTTGACCAATTGCTTTTACCGTCAAAATAAGTTATTTGGAATATTCATCTGAATAACCGAGCGTCAGATTCACTCTCTTGGGTGAAAATATTCGATCGATTGTTCAGAGCGAAGGAAATTGATTCTACACGATTGAGAAGTTACTCGATCCATTGGTAGAATTTTCGAGAGGAGCGAGAGAGAAAAAAGACGGCCTTTTTGCCACCTCATATCTCGTAGTACCGAATGTGTATTTTCGAGCGTCTCCTCAGGGCGCGTCGGCTCGCGAAACCCCGGGCTGTTTGTCAGTAGAAATGTAGCCGTTACTAAAGCGCAACCTTGATGTGTTACCGAGGCGATCAATGTCGGCTATATACACCATGTGTTTGTCCAGCTCACATGGATATTAGATGTACTCCGGATAAGCTCCGCGGCTCGACCATTAACGCCCACGAATCCTCCTCATATGCGCAACAATGTATGACATATGACACGCGGTGCCATTACGTCGCTACCTTGTCCGCCGGCCGCAGAGAAAGCCATGTGTTAGATAAATCGCGCGTTCGCTCGTTCGACTTCGTCATTGCTGCCTGATTGCGATCGTCGGCGACCGGTATATTCGCGCGCGAATATCGATACTTGGCGATCCCACTTGGCGGTGAGTTTCCCTTCACTTAGCTTCGCTGAGATCTGAGATTTCTCATCAGAACAATTGTTTATTTGAATGAAGACATTTCAGTGTTATTAGTACTCACCGAATAAATATATCCTCCCTTTTTCATATTTTTTCTCTTGTTAATATATTATAGTTTGAAATATGGAAAAGATAAATTTGGTAAATTTATCGTTGCGATCGTCACTTTGAAAATACATAATTTAAGGAAGATAGTATATTAATTTAGTTATATAGAAAAACATTTTACAGGAGATTCTAATAGGATCTGAATTTTTCACTCGATCCATCAATGCCGAAGCAAAACTGACCTTTTCCCATAGATTATTATTACAATATATTAATCCGATGAAATATACAACGAACGATTTTGTCAAAAATATTTTAATCATAGCTAATATCGAACTGCATTAAAAGAAGGATTTGGTAAGAAAACCCTTTGGTAGCTTGGTTACTAAATGGTTTGGTGAAATAAACCAAATCGGGCTTGCACTCATCCAATATTTGGCAACTATTACTAAACGTATATGAGGCAAATTGTAATGATTATAATTTTGAATTGTAATGATTATAATGAGAAAAATGCGTAAATTATTGTAAGATAACTCGACATTCCAAAGAAATAGTTACGAAATCGAAATACGATCGCAATTTAAGGTCTCCGTCAAAGTGATGCGCTTGTTACCACCTCTCGCGTCGCTGCGATAAGCGCGTTGAAGTCGCAACAAGGTAAAGGAATGTAAAAGTGAGAGCGCGATGCAGGAGGTAAGAGATGATAATCGATAAGACCCCGTACCGCTTGTAATCGAGAGTGCGATTTCGGATAAGCCGGCAGGCCTCTAATTACGAAATACTTAGCAGCTCTCTCGGGTAGCTGGGTAATTATCTTTGAATGTCGGGGGCCACCTTCTCGCAACTTCAGAACGCGATCAGACAGACTCGGCTTATACAGGCATTATAAGGTCTGCGGGTAGAACGTGTGTTTACGCGCGGAAAGCAGATGATAATTGGATAAGCGTATAGCTTACGTGCAGAATGATTTCGGATAAGACAGACAGACGGCGCGTAATTACAAAACGCCGAGAGAGCCCCGTAGGTGGAGGAGAATAACCTTGGGACGTCGTCGCGCGACTTCGGGAAGCGAGATTAGTTCGAATCGATAATAAATTCGGCACATTCTTCTTGAGAGAAGATTCAAACGATCTTTGAAGAAGAATGACTTTGCCGCGCAGAATTTGTAAAACTTTATTCTTCGACGGCTGTTCTTCACCGATGAAGAACGGTTCGAACGGTTGCAAAGCTTGTTCCCGCCGGACGTTATTAAAGAAAAATCGAAATAGGCCGCGTTTTCGCTCGATCGATATATCAATAGTGATGCTCGAATAGCGTCGTTAGTACGAACGGTATGAAATTGAGAACGAGTTATATGTCAGGCCGCCGAGTGACAATACGGACCAATCAGGTCTGTTTGTTCGCGCCCGCGGGGTGCCCTCAAAATATTTCGTGTCCTCTTCCAGGATTCTAGGGCATGTCTTTTCCCACGTTGACACTCACCACTCGCTTTTAAGACCATTCGT